CTCCTTCCAAGCCATCCTAGTGCTTTCTGACCCCTCCTTCCACATACACCCACTGGTTGTTTTTCTATCTGAAGGTCACTTCAAGATGGTTGAATGTAGCTTGTGTCACTGTGCTAAACTGCTGAAGCCAGCTCCCATGAGACAAAAGGAAACTTGGCAAAAATCAGGAAATTTCTTTTTTGAAATGAGTGCATGTTCATTCAAAAGTCATGGAATCTGTTCAACTTAATTTTAATGGTGACAAGGGAAAAAAATGGACAATGGTTGTTTTGCTCGTGGTGGTGCTGATGTTTTTGTTTTTTCATTTTACATGGCAAAGTTGGCTTCTGGTATATGTAATTATTTCTGTTTCCAGCCTGCCCGGTACAAGGTGATACAGCGAAACAAGAATTACTTGCAGATGGTTTCCAAACTAAACTACAATGCTAAATGAAGTAACTTACTAATGGAAATTATTAAAGTTGCTTGGAGCCCCCCAGAACACTGGAGGCATTTTAAGGTTACTGCAAAGAGATTTGTAGAGAGGACCAAGTGCCTCCAAGAAGTTGAGAGCCTCCTGTGAGATGCCAGGGCAGCCAAAGGAGTCTCAGTGGTTCACAGAGCCTTATAAACACACACATTGCAATTGCCACCAAGTGTTTTTCCCAGGTTGTGTCAGAAACAGCTGTAGCAAAGGGACAGGCAAGGTTTTACATGGAGCACCAACATATGCTGTAAAAGATTTTAGTTAATAACTTTTATTTTTTGAAGTTCACTTGAAAAAACACACACAGAGCTGATGCTGGGATGCTTTTAATCAAAATTCAGTGTTCACATTTGGATTTTCTTCTTGCCAGTATATCAGCTGTCATTTCTATCTAAAAGTTTCTAAAAATTGTTTAAGAGAATTTGAGGACTAGAAGAGGGGTGTTGAAGGCATCTCCGCAGCCCAGGCTGGGGCTGAGGTGTAATCCAGTACTTTCTGGAGGTAGTGGGCCCTTGTGCAGCTGAGAGACAATCTCATACCAGCCAGATCTCCAGTTCAGACATGTAGGTAGCCTCACAAGACAACAGAAAATTAATTTTACTACTCTGCAGTTAGACAAGGTATTTTTAGAGAATAGGGAGCTTTTCTCCAAATACTTACCTGGGCAGGTTCCCCTAACAGCAGCCTTTAAAGTGAAGAACAACAACCAAGTCTGTAGCAACTCCTCTACTATGGTGCAAGGCATCTGCCTGCTAGATGTCCTGCCAGGACAAAAACCCTGAATCCCTGAAAAATTCTGTCTTAGCCACCTCTTAGAGTCCCATCTCCTGTTCTGTGACACCAAAGTTCAAGTTGTTCTTTCTTTCAACAGGGCACAGTGGGGTTATATACATCATTTGTAAGAAATACAGAGATGATAACAGGGATTGGGAAAGCCCAGAAAGTTTGAATTCATACAGTTCAATAGTAAATGCATCTCAGCAATTTCCACATCTTCACTGCTGCTATGGACTTTTAGGTAAATGCAAATTCTCCATTTGTTGAATCTAGATATATTATGAATGTTACCTTGGTATTTTGCCCTTACCTGAATCCCCCAAAGCATGTATTACTAACAAAGTTAATTAAAATGAGAATGGTTTTAGAGCTAGAAGAAATTACCTGACAGTACTGAAAATGGGAACGCTCTGTGTGCTATAAAACTTGGGAACTGCACTTCAGGGTGTGAACGTTTCCATAAGAAAGCAGTTACATTGATGAAAGATGATAGGTAAAATAGCCTGAAAATTTGTGTATGTGTGGGAAAGGGAGTTCAGAGATAGTTGACTGGAACAGGAATGGATATTATTATAGTAAGCCATTAGAAAATGTTCTTTTGTTTTTTCTTTTTTTTTTTTTTAGTTTGTTGCTGAGCTATAGATTATTGCTGTTATAAAGAATGGCCTTGGAATCCAAGACCGAGCTTTTAAAAAGTATTTGATGTAACAAAAAAATAACAGACTGGTGGACAAAACATAGCATTGTGTGATACACTTTCTCTTCCCTAACTCTTATAAGACTTGGCAACATTATAATGCCAGCATATTTCATGACTTGAAAAATAAAAACCGAATGATTTTGTCATCACTGTTCCTGCCAAGAGACACATACCTCCTGCTCCTTCACTAGATACCAGCATACTTCAACTCTGTTCTGCTCACGAAGCTAATAGCCAGGACTGGTACATGTGACCCCCATGCAGCGTGCCAAAGGGAGCAGCCAAAGCTCCAGAGACAATACAGACCAGCTTTTTAACAACACAGCTCTTATATAGGAATTATCTTTGCATTGTGAAGAGGAGCTTGGGGATAAAATTCTTGTGCCACTTGTTTCCATTAGAGTCATCGATAGGTTAACCAACAGATAATTCTAAAAATTACATGTTAACTGTTATGTTTCTGAAGAACCACAGACCAATCACCCAGTTGGATGGCAGCACTTTGCACGTCCCAAGATATTTTTCACAGGGCTCTGCAGATCTGGGCATGCGGGATTTTGCCTGCTACAATGCCTGAACAGGGGAGAGGTCTTGTTTAGAAATCTAAACCATGAAATTTTATTTCAGCTACATTTTTCTTAAAGGATGAAAGACTGATGTTTGTTTGTTTGTTTGTTTGTTTGGGGTTTTTCGGATGCAATAACACAGCAAGTACTGAATTCTGCACCATATTTCAGGTCCCCAGAATATAAGGGTACATGGCAAAAATAAATTAAAAAAAAAAAATTCCAAAACATGCAGGACGAAAATCCTGAGCATTCATCATCTGGGCCCCAAGGGCACTCGCAGGTCTGGCTGTCCCTGCCGGGCCCTGGGTTTCCCACACTTGCCCATGGTGCAGGTCACCATGTGAGCCCCCCCAGCCCCAGGAACACTGCAGCAAGGCTGGTTTCACACTCCTTAGAGCAGACCCACGTCCTGGCCTGTCCTTGGCCCATCCCCATCCTCAGGGAGGTCCCTGATGCCTGAGACTGCCCTGGTTCCCTGCTCCTGGCAGGGTGGTGGGACACACCCTGGCTGCCCAGCTCTGCCCTGACAGCCCCATGGGAGCCCCTGCTTCCACCAGCCCTCACGGGGCTCTGGCATTCAGCTGGTTTTCATATAAGGAATTTGGTTGTACATTTTAAAAATTAGCAATACTTATATATTTATTTTTTAATACATACATTTTAAAGTGCTTTAAAAGATAAGTAGTTATCATGTGGTTAATAATTCATAGAAAAATTCAAATTAATCAGGGGACAATACTGCATCACAAGCCAATGACGCTGCTTTTCAAAATATTACTCAAGGAAAACTCAGTGATAGGGAGACCAAAGAAACACAGTAGGCTGACAGCAAGGTCAGGAATTGAAATAAAATAGTCCAACACCCACTCCAATGCACAGGTCTACTAGGTGCTATTTCTACTTCACCATGGTTAACTAGAAGAACTGACAGAAGAGTTAAAACTAATGAGAGTAAAACAAACAAACAAATAAAAACCATTCCCGATTCTAATTCAAGAGGTTGCTCAGAAAGCCTTTGCATGAGTGATAACATATCTCTATTCTAGAAATTTACCTTTACAATTTACCTTTACAGTCTGCTTTATTTTCAAAAAAAATAATTGCCAGGTTTGATTTCACTGATGGTCTTGAAAATGCAGAATTCCTCCACTAAACCAAGTGGCATTAAACCACACACACCTAGACACAAGATCAACAGCTAGGCAGAGAGGTTCCATATGGATACACACCATGTCTACAGTATGAGTAGCACATGGAGCACAGAAATTGCCAAAATTCATCCTGTTTCCAAAACTAAAAGAAAAAAAAAGAGGATTAGACATGTCTGGGAAAGTGCCCACAAATAAAAAGGAAAAAAAAAAATGAAGCCACTGTTTTAAGCAGTAGAAGTGTACTGAAGGTGAGTTTTATTTTATTTCATTAAAATATATTTTAAAAACATACTGTGTAAAAGAATTAGGATCCTCAATAATTTATTATTTACATTAACAAATTCTGTTTGACTGTTATTCTACAGATAGAAATGAAAAGTCTGCAGAAGGGAGTTGTATCAGTTTTTTCGGGACCAAGCAAGCCTCTTTTCCAAGAAACCCATCCAAAACGCATCCCTTCCCACTTCAATCCCTTTGAATTCAGATTTGCAAACAGTTTGCAAAAAGCTCAATGAAAGGTCATGTTGGCAAGTGTTGAGCACTCGTAGTGAGACCAAGGACTTCGGAGTGCTCTGCTAGAGAAAGACTGAGGAGACTTTAACATCACACTAGTCAAGAGGCTGCACTCCAATCCCACTCTTGCTCCCACTGTCCTATCTCTGCTGAAATCCATGGCATTACACGACCTCTCCAGGCAGATCTTGGAAAGTTAGACAGACTCCTTGAGACTGGTTGGCAGTGGAACAAGTGTTTTTCCTACCACTGTAGACACAATACAGCTTATCAGGCTTTTTCAGTCCAAATACAACATAAATCTTTTTGTCTTCCTTCCCAACCCTGGGAAGAAATATGCATAGGGAATTATTTCTCTGATGTAAACAACTGTAAGCACCATTCACATATGCTGGTCCACATAAAAAAAAAAAAGTTGTATCAAAGTGCCTGCCATAGCCTTGACCCTTCTTAGCAGAGCAGCTCAGCTTTCCCATCAGCTTTCCAGAGTTCTGAAATTGTAGGGGTACCCTACATCATGCACAGTCCATTGCAATGCCAGCTGCTACCTGCTTTACTATTCCAGGAAAGAGCAGTCACCCTTTCAGTGATCATATAAAAGCCCATGATTAAAAGAAGTAAAGCCATCAGCTCATGTGTTCTGTTTCCTGGAGGCACTCAATGGTATTTCTGACATCTCGTGTAAGGCACCAATCAACCAGTAGCTGAGCAAAAAGCGACCCACAAGACCTCCATTAAGCAACCGCAGAGGGAACTGACAAAGTTCAGCCGGTTTGCTTGTCTTCTTGCTTGCACATCATAAAAAGCGTGGTCACGCCATCTGGGGAAGTTTCTGCTGGTATCCTAAAAGAGGAAGCCTCAAATTGCACTGCAAGCCGAGGAGCACAGCTGACAGAGTACCACAGCACAAGTTTCTGATGGCTGCATCAGAGTGGTAGTTCCCACAGACACGGTAGAGATTTCCTTGAGCCCCAAGAGGCCTCTGCTGCTTTTCTTTCACAGAAAACGAGTTTGTTGTCAACAGCCAAGCAGTAACCTCCTTACAAGATGTCTCCATAATACACAACGGAGGACCACACTACAAAATCAGCTTTGTGGCGTACTTGCTGCAGCTTCTCTGCTGTTGGTTTTGTCTGCACAGCCTTATTCACAGAGTTGCAATGCCAGAGATAGCAGAGCCTATAGATGAAGAGGTTGGCTGGATGCTGGCTGACTGCATCCTTGAGCAGTCTCAGTCCAGAATGTCAGTCTCAAATGGAACCAGGTGGTAGTATGTCAAATTGGTGACATAAGCTGTTGGATCATCACTGTCTTCTAGCTCTGAGGTAAAGTCACTAACGCTTTCAAACCTAAGGAGAAATGAAAGAAAAACAAACACCAACAGGCATTAAGTCATTAATGTTCATTTAGAAAATCAAAGTCAAAGGAATTGGAAGAACAGTACTAAGGGAGAGGGAGAAGTACTTGGAGCTGAATCCATCCACACCTGCTCCTCCTCCCTCTTACACCCATGTGTATAAGAGTAAACCATACGCCAATGAGAGCCATGGTACACGCAAGCAAATAATCTTGTTATCCCTGACTTTCAAAGCTACTGGTGAGGAAGGAAGGAAAGAAGCAGCAAGTGAGCCTTGGAAGAGTGAATCATGCAGCTGAAGTCCACATCCTTCTATTTTTTTCCCCCAGCATGTGGCAACAACACGAAATGTCTCAGTTCTTATGCAGAAGTGGAAAGGGAACTGCCTTTGTTTCCCATCTGAATTTGGACTCTCACCGTTTTACTTCACAGGTACCTTCTTTGGGTTTGGCTTTTGTAAGAAGCCAAATGTCTAACGTGAGTAGGAAATATGACTACAGTGTCCTTTCTCCAGAGCCTTGCTGTCCTCCCTGGGGCACAAAATTTAAATTTTGGCAAGCAGAGAAATCCCAAATATAAAGAGATTTCAAATTTAGTTTTATTTGTTTGGGTATTTTCCTTCCCACTTCCCAAATCCTGTGTTATAACCTGAACTTTTGCAAGGATTACCCACTGTCTCACACCTACTCTCAACCAGAAGGCATCGACTTGCTAAAACCTACACCTTCCTCAATTATACACATTTCCATTCCAATGAGGCTTGAATTTCTGCAATAAGAAACATTATCTTCTTCCTTGATAGCCTAACAGTTAAAGGCAGTCACTGTAGGCCAAGGATTAAATTTCATCTGTTTTAGAAAGGGATTTGAAGAACTGTCAAGCTTCTTTTTCTCACACTGTCTTTAATATTTGGAAAGAACTTTCATTCACTCTGATAAAGTGAGAAATAAAATAAAATAGAAACTGAAAAATTGCACAAGATGGAAAAAGAAATCCTAACCTAGCTCTGACTACAGCATGTATTCTAACACCTTTTTAGGCTGGTCTACTTCAGCTCTCTGAATGGCAGATAAACAGAGGAGCTTTAAAAGAACTAATGTTTAAAACTGCATCTCACTAGCACACAAACTAGTTAGACTCTTACCTAAGAGTTGCTTAGGTAAGTGAAGCAAACTCGCCCTAGAGGGTGACCTAAGAGTCAGGTATTTCAGAGGACCTGAAGAAGAGTGGTAGGATAAATAAACAGATATATCTCCCACTCCCATCTCTTCCTGAAACTTTATTTAGAAGCATCATAAGTTATTGGATAGCCTGGTCTACACATCCTGCAATGTATGGCCATAGTTCTGTCTTTTCCATACTCCTGACCAGTCCTTCTCATCTCTTTTTTTTAACTATGAGAACCACAACATTTTTTTGAGCAGAAATTCGTAGATTTTCTCCTGCAGTACTGTTGCTATGCTCTTTGCTTTAAATGAAATAGAAATGATACTGAACTTTGAATGTTTATTACCCTCATTCCTCCACTCCCTCCAGGCTATTTGCTTCCCTGCATGTGTGGGAACATGTGCAGAAGGAAGTTGACTTGGTATCTTGCAAATACTTCACAGATCACGTTGTGCTATCTTATGCACTGCTAGTGATCCAGAAACAACAGATTATGAAATACCAGTGGGGCAGATAGAATGAAGAAAGCGTAAGAGGAGTCAAGAAGGCTACTCAGATTCTGCTCTCTTTCTCTTGTCAATAGTATAAAACTAGATTATTACAACTGAAAGGTCCCACAGATTTTTTGGTTCTTCAGAATCACTGATAGGTTACTACAACCAGAATGTGAGGTACAAAGCAGTGGCATTCAGATGCTGTGGTTAAGCAGAAAGCTTTCCTTGCCACCAAAAAGGAAGTGTGCGCACAGAAGTCTGCAAAGCACCACTCTAGAGTGCTCATACAAAACCAAAGCCAATGAATCAGGACTGTTTACTACAGTTAGCAGTTTATAGGGCACTCAACAGTCAAAATACTTTTGTGCTGTTACCAACAGGTCTTTTTCTCAAAATAAACTCTGCAAGCTACTATGGACCGTAGATTCCTAAATGCCCAAACTCCTGCCCTTGCTATTTTTTCCACAAAGAACCTTGACACACACACTGTCTTTCACAAGAGCCTACTTCTTGTGTTGTAAGTCACACTTCTTTACCATTTTAACCTCTGTTAATGCATTAGAGAAAGAATACCTGGAAAGCTGCCTTTCATGGGCAGGGATACCTTCCACTAGACCAGGTTACACAGAGCCCCATCCAGTCTGGTCCTGAATGCCTCCACGGATGGGGAGTCCACAAGCTGGGCAAACTGTTCCAGTGCCTCACCACCCTTACAGTAAAGAACTTCTTTCTAATATCTAATCTAAATCCACCCTCCTTCAGCTTAAGGGTATTCCGTCTTATCCTATTACTATAGAAAATTTCTGCTTTTAAAAAAAAAGTTCGATTTTTTACAAAACAGCTTTGCTACACTGGGGCCATTATCTCCTTGCTATTACCTCTTGACTATAAAATACAGCTACAGAATGGGAAAATTTAGGCCACCATACAAAACACACATTTGAAATTTACTAACTTCTTCTTGCCTTTTGACTTCACATCCTTCGGGAAGTTAAACCACAAATGCACAAAGTCAGGCTGTTACCCTAGATTTATTGCTTCCACCACAGTTTCTGGGAAACCATGCCCACAACATAGTTTTTATCATATTAATATTTTCTGGCCTTAATAGTCTCTGACTTCAATGGGATGACAGTTAGATGATGGCAGTTTCTGATCTCAGGTCAGCAAGTTTTGCTTGGGCTGCAGCACATTTTTCAAAACAAAACTAGTTTATAAGCATTTTTTAATCAAAATTTTTTAAATAATCAAAATAAGAAAGGAAAAGGCTTCCTTTGGTAATTTGCTCTTATTATTTGTCACTCTCAGTATTAAAGAGTGATCTACTGAGAAGTATATCAACTTTAATTTCCAGACAATGGCCTTACAGAATTACCTCTAGTGTGCCATTTCAGCCTCATTAATACAAGCTTATAAGCTTAAATGCTGTTAGCAAGGTCAAGGTTCAAAACACTAAGTGATAAGTTAATAAAAAGACTTCAAGAAGTGACACTGTAGCCAGAGATAACAATCCAGCTTCTGAAAAAAATCTTGTCAAGCTCTAAATCTTGCTACAGACTGTCAATTACCACATTTCAAATGTGGCAAGACAGATCACTGCTTTCAAAGACAAAGGATCCATAAGGCTTTTAGTATTCTGTTTCCATCATTTTGACTGGTCTAATGAAAAAGCAGGTAATGTTTCTCATCAAAAACATTTAAATGCTTCACTACCTGAAGTTCATTTAAAACATCAATCACCTGCTATGACAGAAATCTGTGCAGATTTCCATCAATACCCATTAAGTCACTGACTTAAGACCTACGTGAATCACAGAATCGTTAGGGTTGGCAGGTACCTCTGGAGATCATCTAGGTCAACCCCTCTACTAAGGTGGGGTCACCGAGGGCAGGTGACACAAGAATGCGTCTAGGTGGGTTTGGAATCTAGTGGTTAGGGTGCATCACTTTCACCACTGCGACCCGGGTTCGATTCCCAGCCCCCCGGGCAGATGGAGC